ACTTTGGCAGCAACCGTGGGGGCAGCAAAAACAGGAGACAGAGGGAAATGAACAGTTCGGTTTCAGATCTAAAATCCCAACCCTCAGAAGAAACAACTGGTTGCTGTTGGTACTGGAACCGAAAACCAAATTGACATGTCACTTGCCACAGGAGCACATCCTTGTGGAAGATTCTGTGTATTTGGAAGTAATCACGAACATAGCTTCTGTTTGGTCTCCCTGTGTTTCGGTGATTTGCAGTCAGCTTTCAGGAAGACGGGGAGATCCTGAGAATTAGCGATATTGCCTTTTAGAAAGCATTCTGTTTCACTTGACCAAGGAAACCTTCAAAGTTGAACCGCATAGGCTGCTTTTCACTATTATTTCCACTCATCACGTGCTTCTCCTTGGACACCTTTGCCTCTCTTCCCATTTCGGTGAGTAATGCCTTGGTTTGCCCAGCTATTGGTAGAATTTTGAACTGACGTCAGATTACATTGTGTCATGAGGTGGGAAGGGTTCAGATGGTGACATCCACATATCCTCTTTATGATCTGGTCATTGTTTTAATTTCAAAGGAGCAACACACTCAGCACAGTACTTCGGTCTATTTAGAGCATGTTAACTGGTGCATCCGAGCAAAGTTACACATTCTTATTATGAATCCCTGACACTGACATGAGCTTTCTAGTTTCCGTCTGTCCATGTATTGTTGGTGCTTTTTTATTTTAAGAAACAAAGATATGTAGTATTCCCATTGTTTGCTTTTTATAAAAATTTTTTTTTTATTTCAGAGAGGAAGGGAGAGGGAGAGGAAGATAGAAACACCAGAGAGAATCATTGATCGACTGCTTCCTGTACTCCCTACACTGGGAATCCAGCCTGCAACCTGGGCATGTGCCCTGACCGAGAATCCATTTTTGACCTCCTACTTCATAGGTCAGTGCTCAACCACTGCACCACACCAGCCAGGCCCCATTATATGCTTTTGATAAACTGACACTTTTGAACCTTTAAAACTATTTTCTTGCTTTCCACCACAGGGAAATACAACTGACTCTTACTGTGAAAGGAGGATTGCACTGTCTCATCATCAAGCCCACCTTGAGGCTGGTGTAAAAAAAATAAAAATGCTGATGCCTGCATAACATGTATCTCTTAAGTAAATCAAACCTGTAATTCTACTTGGCTGCCTCTAAGTCATTTTGATTCCTGCCAACAAGAACATTAATGAACCTAGTATCTCCACAGCCTTATTTGTGTGTAAGACTCCATTCCTTATGCCTCGTTCCAGCAGCTGCCCTGCTCCATCTGATAAAGTGGAAAGCTGGAGCAGGTCACACAAATCCAGAGCATTGCTTAAACCCAGATTATTGCAGGCAGCATTCTCTAATTCTTCCATCTGCTTTTAGGATGGCAAATAATAGGTTTCTGGGGCATGGATTTGAAAAACCATCCATACACTAGTAATCTTGTCATGAAGAAGCATTTTATGAAATTCAAATTATTCATGCCCTTATTCTTCCTACTTTTATTCTTTTGACAATAATAAATAATTGTATTATACTTCTTGCTTTGGGATCTTGGTTTACCTCCATGGATTTATAGTTGTGGGAATATTCCAGAATAAGTAGTACTTCCAATGATGGACTATAACAAATCCCAAAATAGCATGAGAAAGATATAGGAAGTATGGTAAAATGGATGTAAAAATATAAAAGAATACTAGTATAGCCCTCGCTGGTTTGGCTCAATGGATAGAGCATTGGCCCTCAGACTAAAGGGTCCTGGGTTCAATTCCAGTTAAGGCATGTACCTCGGTTACAGACTTGAACCCCAGCCCTGGCCCTGGGCCCAGGTGTGTGCAGGAGGCAATCAATCGATGTGTCTTTCTCATATCAATGTTTTTTTCTCTCCCCCACCTCCCTTATACTTTCTCTAAAAATCAATGGAAAAATATCCTCAGATGAGAATTAACAGCAACAACAGCAAAATTGTTTCTAAATTTCTCTACACTAGAAACACCTGGAAATCTCTTTAAAATTCCAAAGCCCAGACCAATTGAATCACACTTTCTTGGGGTGGGACATGAGTATTTTGACTCCTCAGGTGATCCCAATGTGCAGACAAGCTTGGAAACCACTGATTTAGACAACTACTTCATGATTGCAAGAGAGCACAGCTCTGGCTTCTCATGGACTCCTGCCTGCCCTTGGCAGAAGGTTCTCTGCTGTCCAGATTCATCAATTTTGCCAACTTTGAGCCTAAGCAGGGCACAGAATGAGAGGGAATTTAATCTCAGACAGACAGCAGTTAAGCATCAAAACTACAGGTGGTTATTACATAGTTGATTAGCAAATTTTTTTAAGTAATTTTTATTTGTAATTTTTATTGACAACAAAAACTGCATCTCAGATTTGATTTTTTTTTTTTCTTCTATTTCAGTCTCAGATACTAGAAGTTTATGCTGTTAGCTTTATCAGACTACTCCACCGGGGTAACATTTTTGTCATGCTTTGGGTGATTGTTTTAGAATTCCTTCTTTGAGTTAGTCATCTTTAAAATACCTAACTCAGAACGAGCAGTGTCCATTCACCTTTTTAAAGAAACAGTTTGACACTGAGACATGCATTTAAAATTTTATCTTCCTTATATATACAGCTCATTGCTTATTTATAGGCAATCATTGTCTGCCCACAAACTGAAGGAAGCTTGATTTTAGATGTAACAATTGTTTACTCAAAGGGACCGAATATACGTAGCTGATACCTTTTATCATAATTAGCATTTTTACAAATAACCACCATTCTGGCCTGTAAAATTTTAAAGCTAATAGTGTAACCCAATAAAACAATGATTTTGCTATATCCTAAAGAATGAAAGGCTAATATGGGAACAATGGAATGACCAGTCGCTATGATGCGCACTGACCACTAGGAGGCAGGTGCTTAATGTAGGAGCTGCCCCCTGGTGGGCAATATGCTCCCCCTGTGGGAGCACTGCTCAGTCAGAAGCTGGACTCATAGCTGGCGCGCACAGCGGCAGTGGCGAGAGCCTCTCCCACGACCACAGCAGCGCTAAGGATGTCCCACTGATGGCTTAAGCAAGGGCTCCCAGTCTGTGAGAGGGCTCAGGTCAAGCTGAGGGAACACCCTTCCCCGCCGCCCCCCGCCACCCCCTTCCCCCGTACATGAATTTTGTGCACTATATATATATTAGAGGCCCAGTGCACAAAATTGTGTGTGTGTGTGTGTGTGTGTGTGTGTGTATGGGAAAGAGAGAGAGAGAGAGAGAGAGAGAGAGAAAGAGAGAGAGAGAGAGAGAGAGATTGATTAACGGAAATAAAATTGCAAGTGAAGCCCTGGCTGGTTTGGCTTAGTGCAGTGGTTGGCAAACTCATTAGTCAACAGAGCCAAATATCAACAGTACAATGATTGAAATTTCTTTTGAGGGCCAATTTTTTTAAACTTAAACTATATAGGTAGGTACATTGTTATTAACTTAATTAGGGTCCTTCTAAGCTGGCCTTTGCTAAAAACTCAAGGAACCAAAGAGGCGCATGTGGCTCCTGAACCACGGTTTGCCAACCACTGGCTTAGTGGACAGAGAATCGACTCTGAAAGGTTGCGTGTTCAATTCCTGTCAAGGGCACTACCTTGTTCCTTAGTTGCAGACTCGATCCATGGCCCTGGTCAAGGCATTTGCAGGAGGCAACCAGTCAGTCAATGTATCTCTCACAGCTATATTTCTCTTTCTCTGTTTCTCCCCGTCTTTTCTACCCTCTCTAAAAATCAATGGAAAAATATCCCTGGGTAAGGATTAACAAACAAACAAACAAAACAAAAAAAATGTAAGTGAAGCTGCTTGATGTTTGAAATTATCTGAATATCTTTAAAGAATTAACAATTAAGCTTCTTGCTATAAGTATTTAATTAATTTTAAACCCTATTTGATTTAGAAACCATTTACACTGAATTTCTGGTTCAGTGTTCATTTAAAACCATCTATACTATTCTGTTCAAGCTCTGGATCCTAATCTTGCTTTGGTTACCTCCCTCTGGTCACTTGACTGCTGCTGAAGTGTAAGAAAAGAAGGCATATGACTGCAATCTAATTCCTTATATTTGTTAAAGGAAAATCTTCAGGAAAAATGTTTACTTAGAAAATGCCTGTGGTAATTAAATATGGAACTGCCCTTTAACCCAGTGATCTCACTTTGAGGAATATTTCCTAAGAAACCCGAAGCACCAGTCAGAAAGGATATATGCACCCCTGTGTTCATAGCAGCACAATTTACAATGGCTAAGATCTGCAAACAGCCCAAGTGCCCATCAGTAGATGAGTGGATATAGAAGCTATGATATTTATACCGTGGAATACTATAATATGTAGCTGTAAAAATGAAGGATCTCTTATCCTTTGAGACAGCACGGAGGGACCTGGAGAGTATTATGCTAAGTGAAATAAGCCAGTCAGAGAAAGACAAATATCACATGATCTCGCTCATGTGGAATCTAAAGAACAAAAGAAACTGATGAACAAAACATGGAACAGACTGATGAATCTCAGAGGGATGGGTGGATGGGTGGGAAGAGATTAACCAAAGAATTTGTAAGCATAAACCATGGAGACAGACAATAGTGTGGTGAAGGCCTGGGAAGACGGGGGTGGGGGTGGGGGGTGGGGAAGAACAGGCTAGAAGGAGTCAATGAGGGGGAGAAGGAGAACATTTGTAATGCTTTCAACAACAAAGATAAATATAAAAAAAGAAAATGCCTGGTGATTACATGGGCCATGGGGCTGGGTGGCAGTGGAAGAGTTAGGTATAAAGGGCTAAATGAAGATGGAAAAAAATAATGGTATACCTGTGTATTTTTTTTACTCAAAACTTATTTTACACATCATCATTGGGGCAAAGTGGTAGAAGTAAATGAGAATGCATGTATGTCTTATTAAAGCCAAAAGAAGAGATGGTGCAGTTTCTTACTAAAATTACTCTTTTTTTCATATGAAATTTTAAGGAAACCAAGGACAGTTGTGGTGTGTTGAAAGCACAGGAGCCATGCAATTGGAAGGCCTGAGGTTTAAATTCGAGTTAATCACAGTTGTAAGGTGGTGTTATTTTTAGCCCTTCTCTGTTACAATGCTTTTTTAATATGTGAAGTTTACATTTTGTCCTAGAACACATTTGCTTCTGCTCTATTAAAGAAACAAAAAAGTTATGTAATGAATGTCACTCTTTTATTTCATTATAAGTGAGGCAACCCTGGTATATATAAACCAAATGGTAACTAATCCCAATGAAATGAAATTTGATTTTGAAATAGTCTTAGAATTTGTATTTGAATGAAAGTGATATTTTGGCCAAAACCAGTTTGGCTCAGTGGATAGAGCATCAGCCTGCGTACTGAAAGGTCCTGGGTTTGATTCTGGTCAAGGCATGTACCTGAGTTGCAGGTACATCCCCAGTAGGTGGGGCGGGGGAGGTGGTGCAGGGGGCAGCTGATCGATGTTTCTAGCTTACTATCCCTCTCCCTTCCTCTCTGTAAAAAATCAATAAAACATTTTTTTAAAAAAGAAAGTGATATTTTGGTAAATTATAATTCACTGTCATCCTGTTTATAACAGTATTGCTGGGGAACAAAATTGTAGTCTAAAATTCTGTTATCTCATGTTCTTAAGCATATGTAGTTATAGAATTTGGGAAAATACCCTTTGAGTCAAAACATGGATATTACTTAGGTAGAATAATGCAACTTCATTATAGGATTGTTCTATATATCTATCTTTTTCCTTCCCCCCATTCAGATTTTGTCCCTAGTCACCCTTTTTTAGAAGCAACAATTAGAGGAAGTATTAGCTCAGGATGAAATAAAGCACCACCCTAAAAAGAGGTGCCCATTTTCTCTCAGTGTTTATCTTTGCCAAGATGAAGAGGGGCAAATCAAAATGTTGCCTTTAGGCCTTGATTCTGGGTGTTAGATGAAATGGACAGAATGCTGACCACATGTGACCTGAGCCGTGTTGGTGGTTATTTTATCTAGCTTCAGATCAAGGTTTGCTTGAAATAAGCTGTGCCGTGGCTAAACCTTAGAAAGACCCAGGAGTGAACTATGTTGCCCTCTACATTCTTCCCACCAGAGCATTACTTTGTGGTATTGATTTTGAAAAATGAAATTTAACTTCCAAGAGCACAGATCAGATTCAGGTATTCTTAAATATGAAATTGATTTTGACCTACCCAGGAGCTATAGAATAATGACAATCGCAGAGGTAAGAATAAAGTCATTGTACAGATTTTTCTATGCTCCTTTTAGTAAATCTATTCTGGAGTATAGAGGTGGGCAGTTGGTAAACCCCGTTTCTTTATTGTGTGATGCATCAGTTTGATACTGTCAGTCTGTTACCAGGGTTTGTATTGGGATCATTGCTGTGAAAGAGGCTCTGAGAATATTGTATCACCAGTTTTTAGATGTTGTTATAGGTTTCATCCAGAGCAGATGGAAGGGTAACACAGTAACCCAGTACCCAATTCAGGAGCCTGGAGAAAAATAGGCTGATGAAGGCTTAACTCAAGTCAGATAATTTATATTATAGGTGGGCATGGCTGGGTTAGATAAGGGTTATGTTTTTTCAAATAAGCAGATTTTTTCCCCTAAGATTAGAATTAACTTTACTGGTGGGAGCAGGAAACTTAGGGGCAGAACATTAGGTAGAAGATTGAGGGACAGCTGCTTCTGTGTCAAGGACAGGAAGGTACCCATGTTTCTCAAGTGCTGCTTTTGCATAGTTACATCAACAACATGTGTCAATAGGTAAAGGAGAGACTAAGAATATGTACCATGCCATTCCACCATCAGCCAAAAGCCACATAATGTTCATCATAGGGAATAGTACATTTTGGTGTATTTTTGAACCCTTATTTCTTCCATTTAAAAAAAAAATACATTTGAACTCTTACTATGTGCTCAACAGAAGAGTAGGGAAACATGATTCTAATATAGCGTCACTCTTCTCTTTTTTTCCTTGAAGTCAATAGGGTTTAGTGTGTGTATTACACACACACATATGTGTATGTATGCATTTAATAACATATAATAAAAGGGTAATATGCAAATTGACTGAACGGCAGAATGACCAGTCTCTATGACACACACTGACCACCAGGAGGCAGACACTCAATGCAGGAGCTGCCCCCTGGTGGTCAGTGCGCTCCCACAAGGGGAGTGCCTCTCAGCCAGAAGCCAGCTCATGGCTGTCAAGCCCAGCAGCAGTGGCAGGAGCCTCTCCCACCCCCGCAGCAGCGGGAGCAGGCCTAAGCCATCAGTTGGACGTCCCCTGAGGGTTCCTGGATTGCTAGAGGGTGCAGGCTGGGCTGAGGGACCCCCTGAGTGCATGAATTTCGTGCGCTGGGCCTCTACTATAGTATAGTAACCTTGGGTTTTTAGATGTGTTTTACTTTTACTTATAATGTGCTTATTTTAAAAGGGATAACATAACATACATTTTATAAATGATTGTAAGAGTAAACACCCCTTCTAACTGCCACCCACATTAAACAAACAAACAAACAAACAAAAAAGACTTTGGCCAACGTGTCAGAAGCCTAGTGGATCTCCTCCCAAATACACCCCACTTGCCCCCATTCCCTGAGTATGCTCTAGCCTCACTCTTTAGGCATTCATTTCCCTGCTTTTCATCTTACCACTTAAGCGTGTACCTTATGCACCAGAAGCATCCATATATTGTAGTTCAGGGTTGTCTGTTTGGCAACTATATAAATGGAATCATAATTGCCCCCTTTTTTAGTCCTGTTTCTTCCATTTGTTATCCACATTGTGGAATGTAGCTGCGGTTTGCTCAGTTTCATAGCTCTAGTATTCTGTTGTATGAATCTACCACAATTTATTCATCATGCTGCTGTGTTGGACATCTGGACATCAGTTTGCACCTACTACATGTACTGTTGCTATGACTATTCTTAGGCTATCTTTTGGTGCACATGATGTGACAGCAGGCATGGAACTATCTTTTCCTTCACGCACATTAGTGAGCCAGTAATCTAAAGGAAAGCAAACACTGTTTGGGTTATTCAAAGGTGGTAGATGCTGTCTAGACATCGAGATGACCATTTCCATCCAGGTGAATAAAAAATAGAATGTCCAGGATTGTAACTTTAAGAGACATGTCTACAGTTATTTTTTTTTTTTAATCAGGAAAACAAAATACTTTTGTTTTTAAACTACCTATGGTGCTACTTTTTAGAATTCTAAAATTATCAGAATGAAATGTCCTTAGAGGGTGGATAGTGTATTTTACATTTCTTTTACGTTCTTCATGAAGGCCATGGCAATGCTGGAAAGATGTTAAGTCCCCACTAAACATGCATTCCCTCAATAAGTATACTCTGGAGTGAAGTTATTTATGCAAAAAGGGTCTGATTTCCAAGAGCAGGTTCTTAAAAGGGGGCAGGAGTGATTAGCTTATTTTTCTGTTTTGAAAGCCTCTTTCCTGACAGAAAATACTAGCTTGGATGGACCAATGTAATAATCTGCCTTCCCCATAACTTTTTTTTTTTTTTTTTTTTACCATATTCTTACATGTCCTAAGTATAGCTTATTTGTGTATCCCTAAGGTCTTTTCAAGTTATAATTTGGGCCTTTTGTTTGCCTTTTGAAATGAAAGACAAAATAGAAAATACACTATGAGGCAAGTTTATCACTTCTGGAAGCCTTATACTTTAAAGCATCTGCATTTTAAGGCTGGACCAGGTAGGGCCAGATCATGGTATATTGATTCAGTATCATCCTGTTCATCTGAGCTTCATTCTGAAACTTGAGCAAAATAAAAATGTTTGTCACAGTATTCTGGGTTATCTGAAGTCTTGTTCCTGTTTACACAAAATGACCATTGGCCTAATGGAGTTAACAAGAACACTTGACAGCTCACTCAAGAACTATTTCAAGTGCTGAGCAAAAGGCATTTTAATTGAACAATTACTTATCCAGAATCAGGCTGGCCAAGAATGCTGCTTCTTGTGAATTCAGCACACTACCCATACACAATTGGTTTTGCTCCTTTGGTGTAACGAATGTCTTTGAATTCTTTTCTGCAATGAAAAGATTCATATGGTTTGTCTTCCTTGGGGATTGTAACTTTCAAAAGATGCCCTTAAATATATTACTACCTCATTTAAACTGTTTGCTTCCAAGACGTGCAGTACTTTGTACAAAGAATAAGTTATGATCCCTTGGACTCACTGGAGGGAAATGCTCTGCTGGGTTTCCAACTGTTGTTCTGTGGTCAGTTTATGACCTGATGCCCAGCTTCTTTATAGACTCACCACTCACAGGATAGTTCCCTTTCATGTTTTTTCCATGCTTATAGAAAGAAACACTATGTTTGGTTTGTGTCTTCGTCTGTTTGGGCTGCTATAAAAAATTGCCATAATCTGGGTGGTTCAAAACAGCAGAAATTTATTTCTTACAGTTCTGGAGACTAAGAAGTCCAAGATCAAGGCTCTGGCAGATTCAGTGCCTAGTGACGACCTGCTTCCTGGTTCATAGACAGCTTTCTTTCTGCTCTAATCTCCCGTGGCGGAGAGCTATCTCTCCCATGGGCATTAATCCCATTCGTGAGGCTCCACCCTCCTGACCTAATTACCTCCCCAAAGCTTCACCTCCTAATGACATTACCTGAGGGGTTAAGACTTCAAACTATGGCCTTAGCTGATTTGACTCAGTGGCCAGAACCTTGGCCTACAGGCCAAAGGGTCCCGGGTTTGATTCTGGTCAAGGGGTCAAGGGCATGTACCTTGGTTGTAGGCCCTGGTCAGGGCATGTGCAGGAGGCAACCAATCTATGTATTTCTCTCATGTGGATATTACTCTGTCTTTCCCTCTCTCTTTCACTCTCTCTTAAAAAATAAATAAATGGAAAAATAGCTTCAGGTGAGAATTAAAAAAGATTTCAAACTATGAATTTTTTTTGGGGGGGGCGGGGGTAGGCATGAGGGAGGGAGGCACACAACATTCAGACCATAGCAGCTAGCAAACACCAGTAGAAATTTCTTTTTCCTGCACAGCTTTCTCTTGGTATTTGGAGAGAAACCCC